AGAGAGAGAGAGAGAGAGAGAGAGAGAGAGAAGGAACAAGCAATTCTCTCCCGCGTCACAAATCGGAAAGCGATTCCGTCCGGAACACAAATGTACCTGTGTTGCGTAGTGTCTGTACTATAAGGTCTGTAAGCAATGCAATACTGCACCGTCTGCACGGTTCCCAGAATGTTCTACTTTAGGACAAGGTGGGGGAGACTCCGAATATCGGTTGTTTCTCATCGACCAAGGTTCTGGTCTCCTCGTCTCGTTTCTTTTCCGCGTCAGCGTTCGCAAGCTTTCGTCGCAATCAAATCCGACTACTCCACAGTCGAGTCCGACAATGTTCGACAAACAAAAGTAGCGAACCGCGTTTGTTTTATACCCGCACGCAGCTTCGCGCGCCAACCGGAGTTCACGAAGGCGCTCGCGTGGCCATCGTAGTTGGCGCCTTGTCCGCCTTGTCTCACCCCTTCTATGTTAGCTAACATTTAGTTTAAGCGGGAAGCGAGCCAGAGCGATCCGAGAAAGAAGAGTGGAGGAGGGAGGAAGATAGTCAAAAAGAGAATGAGACAACCGAAAGGTAGCGAGGCGAATTCATTACAAAAAAATATCTGCAACGAATTTCAATTTCACTGCAATGATGCAGAAATACAAGTATAGACTCAAGAGAATTTTGCACGTCTCTTCTCAGTGGGACAAAATGTATTTCGAATTAAAATTGAATCTTCATCCAAAGTCGAGATTTCGATGCATTCTTCCTTTAATCGTTCGTACAGTGTTACGATTCCTTCTGCGTTTCTCATCTTTTTCCAGCCTCCTTTCTCTTCTGATTCCTCCATCAGATCCATCTCCGAAAGACGCGCGCATGTTGCGCAGAAGATATCTCCCTTTAATCTACCCCTTTAATAGATCTACATGTATATGTGCATATGTATGTATATATGTATAATATATATATGTGAGTGTGTACAAACATAATAGATTTCTGTTCCAGCAGAACGCGAGAACGCAATTGCGCATTTTGAAAACGAGTGATAGAGAGAGAAAGAGAGAAATCGAACACGTGGTGTTAGGTGTATCGACGTACTTCTTCTCATCTAGCTTTTTCTTCGGTAAGTCCACTTTATTTGCCGCTTCTTTTCTCCACTCGTTCCCTTTTTCCCCTTCCGAAAATTCCTTCATGTATTCATAGTCACAGTTCGATTCTCGAACAATTCGCAAATCGCTTTTCCATCCCTCTCTTCATCTTACAGTAATCTTAATTCTCTAGGGTTGAATAAAAATTCGTAAAGTAGGAAAGACGCGTCAAGGGGAAAAATTCAGAGAAAGGCAAATAGGAAGTGTCGAGGGAAGAAATTCAGAAGTAGATATGGGAAACTTGTTTTCCATTGAAAAATTTGCAAAACGTCGAGATCATGAATTTAAAAATAAACGGATCACATATATATATCGATATTAGAATTTTTGTGTAGTCTGAATATTTAATAAGTTTGCCTTTAAAAATACATGATTTATTTGGAGTTATAAAGAGAGTAAGATAAGAGTGCAGAGAGCACATGTTACATTTATGTCCAGTTTTTAAGCGACGAATACGATGTTGGTCCGATCATTTTAGCTATCACATTTTCTGAATTTAAATAACCGAAATAGATTCATGTTTAGGGAGAGAAAGAAACAAGAAATGTAAACAAAGTGTAAAAAGTGCAATCAAAGTAAATAGCCCTTGTTTTGTCTCTTGTTTATCTCCTGTAAACTATCGTGATCAAGAATAGCAAGAATATAAATATGTCTTCTTTAATGATTAATTATTCGTGAAAATTAGCTAAAAAAGAACATTCACATTTCGGAAACTTCTTGATTTTCTCGTTCTGCAGGAAGAAGAGTCCATTTGGGACAATATCTAAAACAAATTTATTGCAAATCATGCTTGTATCAACATTATCTCTTTGAACCTCATATATGCTTGTACAGTAGAAGAGGTTAGGAATAAATAATCCTGTCACTGTTACAGTGAAAAAAAGCGTTTGTCTTTTAACTTTTACTAATAAAGTTATACAATAGTTATATAAACTTACTAATATGTATATGCAATTAGTAAGTTTCGTAAGCATTTATATTTTTTTATGTAACAAGCATTGATTTTATGCTTTTGTACGCATACATACACACACATATATATATATATATATATACATACATACATATATATATAAAAAATTGTATACATTACATCATGTGTTTATTTTTACAGGCTTCCTGTGATCATATTGAAGGCTTGCAAAGTCACACTATAAATCTTGCTGTCACGACTGACTAGTCACACGTTAATACGCCAGTAAACGGCGGAATGAGCGTGCGTACGCAAAAGCTACTTTTGTGCGCGCTCGTACTTCTAGGCATCATTTACTTCTGTACGAATCGGCGTGGGAATGATAAAGATGTATCTCTGAAGCAGCTTCTCGCCGCTGCGATAAGAGCGGCAGAGATTGGGGGACTGCAAGTGGTAGCAGTGCATGATCAGACTAAATTCAAAATAGAGAGCAAAGGTCAGACGAAGGAAGGTAACTATTGATATAATTTGATATGTAATTGTATGTGATGATACATTAGATAATAGTCCGTAACTAGGTTTCTATTTCTTGAATTATGTTTCTATATTGTACAATCCGTTTTTCTAATTCGACGGACTTTGATATAAAACAATGATGTATAATGATTTTTTTTTCTGTATACCTCCTTTAAAGGCATAAATGACCCAGTAACAGCAGCAGATTATAGGTCTCACTGTGCTATGTATCGCTCTTTGACAGAAGCGTTTCCAGGGATTACTGTGATATCAGAAGAAACATCGCAAGATTGTGATAAAATTGTAGTTGAAGACATTAAGAATTCTGTTAAAAGTATTGAAGGTTACGATATAAATGACGATATTGTAAATGTTAATGATGTAACAATCTGGATAGATCCTCTAGATGCCACCAAAGAATTTACAGGTAAAGATACATCTTTGCCATTATAAATTCCAGTACTTCTAACAAAATTACTTTTTAGGTCATTTATGGCAAGAAGTTATTTTTAAAATGATCAATATTTGTGCATTTTTATGTTTAAACACATTCATGTTACAATCAATAAGTTGGTCACAAATTTCACAAGAAAGATATTCTAATCGAAGATTAGATTTATAAACAATAAGTACAAAGAAAATGTATTATCTGCAATTGCAATTTGGAATTAATATTTTCGCGATTGTTTATGGCTAGATGTTGAAGAAGCATCGATTGTTTTCAGGATCAAACAATAAAAGTAATTTTTTAGACCTAATATAATACAGATAATCATATCCAGTTCCATAATAATATAAGATCTACATTATGAACAATCTCAGAAATATTAAGATGTTGCGGGTAAAACTTATTCCTTAATAAATAATTTAACGTGTAAGTGTAGTAATTTGACATATAATTGAAAATTTGAAAAACCATTAAAATACTAAATAAAATTTTTACCAGATGTTTCAGATCGATCCAGTTTTTTTTTAATGTTAGACACAACTTTTTGAATAAATTAGAAAAATATTCAGTGGTTCTAGAACATTTTATTTATAGCTTGATGTTGCTTTTTATAAACCAAGTTTGACAGTGTTTTTGCATGATACCTTATATTTTTAGAAAATTTACTGCAATATGTATCTACTATGGTATGCATAGCCATCAAAGGACAACCAATTATTGGTGTTATATATAAACCGTTTGAGACAAAACAGAATTATAGTTTATTCTGGACGTGGAGCAATCATGGCGTATCAAAAAACTTGAAAAATTTGCCCAAGGTAATTGTTGAATTCAAGTAATTTAACAAAAAAAAGTTACGATTAATTTTGAAAAATTATTTAGTTAATCTTTGTTGAACAGGTAAAAGACAATAAAACACCTATTTTAATTGTATCTCTTTCACACGCTGGACAAGTAAAAAATACATCTAAAATTGCCTTTGGCGACAATGCTAAAATTATTTCTGCTGCTGGTGCAGGTGAAAAGTTTTTTAAATACCGTTTTATTTCTATAATTCGCTATTAAAGACTTGTGATTAGTGAAGATAATTTGCACATGATGCGTATTTTTCTAGTCATTTTAATTTCCTCATTGTTTTTAATTTTTTATTATTCAGCTTCACATTCTTTTCATGCCTTCAATTTTTGTCATTAGGAATTTTATATAGAATACACAAATATAAAAGACATTTCATTTTAGGATACAAATTTTTGGAGGTAGCTGCTGGTAATGCGACAGCATACGTTCATACAACTGCTATCAAGAAATGGGATATATGTGCAGGCACTGCAATTCTTAGGTATTGCTATCTAAGTGTCTTAATACTATATAGTATTTACTTGTTATGTATTTATTTCTTACATTTCTTGTAGTGCTTTGGGAGGAACAGTGACACAGTTATACGATCAACAACCAATCTATTTTGGAAATAATGACGCAAAAGTACTTACAAAAGGTCTTTTAGCAACTATGAGCGATCATGCTTGGTATTCCGAAAAATTCTTGCATGACTTTCCATCCGATTCACATTAATTAAGAATAACTTGACGTCAATGTATTAAAAAAAATTTAAGGTTGTATATATTAAATTCTGTTTATAAAAGATTCGTGTTTTCAAAAATATCAATATATGTGCTCATGTACGTAATAAAATCACATATCTTCCAACAGTTGTCTTAATTTAAGAATTTATTAGAAGAAATATAAATTTGTCATAAACTATGTATTAAAAAAGTAGACTTTTATATAATAAATGAAATAACAGTCATTTTATTATAAACTTTTATACATCCACATATAATTATGAAATTTATGAATAAAAAAAATTTGATATAGATAAAAGATGCTAGCATTAATTTACTGTTATACATTTAATAAAAAATTTCAAAAAACTACTGATAAGTGAAATGTTTATTACATAACATCTACTTTGTATTTTCCAACTTTGTATAAAAATAAATGTAACTAAAGTAATTTTACTTTATTTTCTGAAATACATATTGCAGATGATTTTTCTAACTTTTCTATTGTTTTGCAAAACTTTGCAATAGCTTTGTTATATTCACTTAGTTTGAAAGTATCACTTAAGCTAAAAACGTAACATATATATTTTTTCATAACCTTAGTTTGTAGTTTTTTTAAAGGAATTTCACCTTTAAGTTGTAAAACATCTAAAATAGTCTTCTTCCAATGGAACATAGTAACGGCACTTCCATTATCCAAACTAGATTGTTTACTAATTTTTGCAACTAATTGATCTTCCTCTGATTGGATGCTGATTGACTCCAATTTCCGTTTTTTAGATTTACTGCGTCTCTCATGTAGGTGACTGTTGGTTACCCTGCATGCTTCATCATTTCCATCTTGACTCACAGAATTATTTTCTTTGCATATATTTTCATTATTTTGATTTTCAACGAGATTCTGATTGTCAAACGAGTTATTAGAATCTATATTTTGGCTACATGTCATCTCATCTATAAAGAAAAATAAATATTTGACTTGTGTGTATTTTATAAATCCTTATTTTTTTCCACTTTGAAGAAAAAAAAAGAAAAAATGAAGAAGTGCAAGAAGTTCAGCTACAAAAAAACTGACTTACTCATTCTTATATAATTCATATTAGGTCTATTCTTTGTAGATGAATTCGAATATACTTATATTTAAATGTAAAGACTACTTTTTTTTTCAGAGGATACAGTCAACTCAAATATTGTTCTATTTTTTTTGGCAATCAATAAATAAAGAAAAGATCTTGTCATTTCATGATACAAGTCGACACAAGTATTGTTTTATCTTTGTTACTCATGGAAGATTAAGAAAGATACATTTGTGACAATTTGTGTCACTAAATGAAAACTCAATGGAATGACACTTGTATCGATTATGTCTTGTAGAAGGAAAATAGTTAAAATAAAATAGATATATCAAAAGTTTGGCAAAAGCAACATAAAAAGTTTTAATATAATTTAATGCAACAATAAAAAACAGACAACAATCTTACAAAGGATGTATTTCAAAATTCATTCTCAGTGCTGAAAATTATAATGCATGTAATATAAACTATAGATCTTTAGTGCTGGCAGTGAATTTTGAGACAGTGAATCATAAGACATTCTTCCATTAAATAAGCAAATCTATTATAAGAAGAATATTCACCTTTATTCTGCTCCTGATTTTGTATAGGATTCTCCGGAGTCATTGTAACCACTTGTTGACTCTGCTTGTGTGCATTCTCCATTTTGCTCCAAACACTCTCCACAACTGTTGCATTTACACGATTGCCTATCGCATTGCGCACAAAGTTAAGAAATTTAGCCTTCTTTCTTGGTATATTCTCATGTTTCGACAAGGTATTTAGAAAGTTTCGTTCTAAGTTTGACAATTCCACTGTACCAGTCAGCAAGTCATTAACAACATTCATCCATTCTTGCTGTTTGCGCTCGCCTTTATTTGCACTAGGCTTTGGAACATAATCTTTTGCGCCATATCTTTCAGCTTCAGTTATACATTTAGTATGTGTAACATACTCGTCACTTCTTAAAGTTAAAAATATTAATACGATTATTAATATCAACTGACGTTAGAAACTTATTAAATAAATATTTAGCAAAGGCATATCCTTATTGATTCTTTTAAAATTTGATAGTATTTCGAACATGATATTCGAATGATAAGAAAATTCTATTTCAGGTATTTCTAAAATTTCTTCAATTTCTGTACCTCAAGATCCGTAAAATATATTTCAGAAAAATCTAAGATTGTCTTTACATTAAAAAAAGAGCTATTTCTTTAAATTCTTACCGAAAATCCTTTAGGCAGTCCACGCAAGTTAGGAAGGGCGAATTCCGGCATTTCTGCTGATAATGTATAGCCACTTTGGGCTTCCTTAATGAATCGCCGCAATGGTTGCAAGTAAATACAACCATATTGTAATTTTTTATACAATTATGTCACAATACTAATTGAAATAATGAACGATATGACGAATATATCCAATAATTTCAACTTAACCTACAGAAACAACGCCGGTATTAAATATTATTAACCAAACAGCACCAACCGAGTATCACGTGGGCCCAAAAAGAATCCGATTTTACATAGATATCGTCGAAATCATCCGTACATTAGCGCCAGTATATATATATTTTTGATGTAAGAACTACATAGCTGCGTACTGGCGATAAAATCACGATATCGTAAATAAATGTGGTGCGAGTCCGTACTAAATTGTATGCATTAGATTGCTTTAAAAAGTATAAGTTATAATTGCTTTATTATTTTATAAGATCAAATTTTCTTTCATACTGTGTCTCTTCGATAGTCATCCTTTAGTCTAATTGTTTTTTATTTTCAAAAAGAATATAATTTCCGTATTCAAAATACGCTTTCAACGATAAATATATGTTAATTATGTGTTAAAAACGCGCTAACATCGTAAAAGCGCGTTCTGAATACATACAGGATTCTTCGGATTCACGAAACGCACGATTCCAAATTCCGAAAAAGACTGAAATTTTTTGCGCGTAGCGTTTATATATCTTTTCTGAAAGCTAGCGCGGACCAATAAGCGCTCGGATATAAGGCCCGCAGTGAGACTTGCGCTCATTGGCTGGCTTGAGAGTGGTGGGGTTTGAGGTTCCGCGGCTCCTATAAATAACGGACAATTTTTGCTCTCGCGTTCTTGCGACTTTGCGACTCGACCAGGAAACGAGCTTGTGTAATATAATATAACGTTGAAATATCTCTCATCTCTGACTTCGAATCAATTATGGACCTTTCCTCCGGAAGTATCCTGATCTCCAGAAGTATCTTGATCTCCAGAAATAGTTTCCTGCAGAGAATAATAAAACGACGGAAAACTGCTCGAAAGGATCGCGCATTCGAATTATACTACCAAGGAAACTGTCAAATTATTTTTACACGCGACGCAAACAATGTTTAAGAACCGATCGCTTTTAATTCTCGAATTTCTCGAACAGTTTTAACATGTCTTACGTGTTAAATAAGATATTTAATGTTAATATGTACGTAATTCTTAATACCGCTATGTTATCGAGCGTGAATTTCCTATAACATTTTAAATATCGCGTAATGTAAATCTAACAGGACTAGTACACTGATTGTTCGACCGAAAATATTTTTCGCAATATATTTATTCAGTCGAATCGAAAGTGGTACGCCGCATTAATTTTGACGATGCGTGAAGTTGACCGTACTCGAAAAACGACGCCACTTCGCCATTTTAATAAGATTGCGGCGGACAAGAGACGGACGATCGACGACGAGACAAGTGACAGGCGCCTCGTCCGATACCGTGTTCGCTGCGATTTTGTTAAAATGGCGGAGCAGCGTCTTTTTTTTGCGCGCAGTTAACTTTAGCATCATCAAAATTTACGCGGCCTATTACTTTTGATACTCGTTTGATTACTCGTTCTACGGAACGAGTATTGCGTTCACGCAGGAAACGAAACCTCGCTGTTCAACGCGTTCACGTTTCATTTACAGGACGCGACAGCTCGGGATAAATTGGCTCCGGATGAGATGGCGTCGTTATTATTTAGTAGGTAAGTGAAACTTCCATTTATTTACTAACTTCTATTTACATATTTATATATATTTATATATTTTTTCACTGAAATATTGCATAATAGATTTCGATAATTGCACAGTGATAATTTGATTAGACGCGCATTTCGCAGTACTTGTTCGATTGAAAATCAAAACATATAGCATCGTTGCACGCGTTATCACTGGGTCGTCACATAGCTTTTGGCGTGAAATTGATCGCGCAGAGAATGAGCTTCTTTATCATTTTACAATTAAATGCAATTCATTGCGTTCTCGTTTTATCTATGAAATATCGCGGGTGTATCAAATGTGTAATTTCGTATGCTCTGATTTTTCTACTATCGTAACACGATTAACATCGAGACTATTGAATAAAACATAATAAAGCCGCGCGATTGTTATTCTAGTAATTAATTATAATCGCAGTTAATTGTAATTAATAATTCATTTGTTTTTGCAAATATATGTTGAAGCACGAAGAAATACGTAAAAGAACAAGTGAAATTAAAGCCGGAGCGGTGATAAGAATGACGGCGCGAAGAATCGTGAGGTGAGCATTTCATAATTAATTAATTTTATTATTTACTATTGGTGAATATAATTACTTATATGTCTAGTACAGCATTTTAGATTTATGTAATTGCGTACTGTATATAATATATCAAAAATCAAGTAAATAAGATTTTTTA